TGGCAGAAAGGACAGGTCTTTGAGCCTGAGTATAGTACAGATATAATGCAGTCAGAAGCAGAGTAAAATCCAATGTTCAGAAACGCCCCCCCCAATTGTCATCACTGAATCTTTCATTGATGCCTTATATCCCAAGTCACAGCATTTGCTCATCTAGTCCAGCACTGTTCCTTTCAGCTTCCCAAGATCTCAGCAGAGGACTTTCCCAGCCCTGCTGAAATGCTTTTTTTGGACTGGAAACAAAAAGAATTCACCCTGTGCATACCAAGTATGTGTTTTATGAGCTACAGTACAACCTGGTCTAATGTACAGACAAGGAATAAAGGTATCAGGGGAAACATAAACATAGGCCTAGTCTAGAGATGAACTTAATTCTGAAAATATCATAAAATTTTCAGATTGTGAAGCTCAGATCCTGGTGACAAAATTCTTCAGCATTCCAATTTCAGTATCAATATTTGCCACTGGTGTTCAAAAATTGCTTGTCCAAGTGAACAGTTACTAGATATGCATTCAATACACTGCCTGGCTGCTACTAGAGATGCATTCAATACACTGCCTGGCTGCTGACAGACGCTGTCAAATTTTGATTGTGTGTCTCATGCCATCAGATGTTGACAGCTGCCACATGTCAGTTGTCAGATATTGTCACTGTGCACCTTGACATGTTACCTCCTCCCATTCTGATAGCTACTGCATAGTCTTTTCATGTCAGATTATGCTGCTGCTGAAGACAGATGATTTAATATCCAAAGTTCCATCTGAATTGCTGAAGGGAATTCTGAGGATTTGATTGGAGGGAGACAATCAGTTTTAGCTCTAGCCTAGAACCTATCAAGCCTAGACCTGGATGGCCCAGGCTAGCCCAGTCTCACCTGATCTTGGAACATAAGCAGTATTTGCCTTGGCTAGTATTTGGATGGGAGACCATCAAGGAAGACTGGGGTTGCTACACAGAGGCAGGTAATACCAAACCACCTCAGTCTCTGGCCATGAAACCCTATGGGGGTCAGTTGGCTGTGATTTGACAGCACTTTCCACCACCAAGATCAGAGTCAGGGTCAGGAGTAGCAAGTCTTCTTAACAAATGGTACTGACCTGCTATGATACAATTGTAAGGCTTTATAGTCCCATTCTGAGCACAGGTGCACCCTTCTAAGGTCCCTTAGGCTTAGAAAGCTATTACTCTGTTCAGGATTGCTCTGTTAGCAGTCTAGGAAGCCCTTTCTCTCTGAATAGCCATCACTGGTGAATGATGTTGTTGACACTTCTCGAAGATAATTTAAGATAAACTTATGAAAACAATTGAGGACTTTTTGCATCATATTATAAAAGGAGCTAATTCTTTATAGTCACAGCATTATACAGTCTACAAAGTAGAAATTGCAAGTAAACACATATATGTGGAAATATAATGTGTGACGATTAACACTGCCCATCCCAAATACGTGACTTTGCCCTACAGCTACCACGGTCATCCTTATTTCCCTGACATCACTATGTTTCTCTATGTTTTTACAGCTCTCCTTCTTACAGTGACTTCCCCTGCTGTGCTAAACCAGAATACATCAAAGATTACATGCTTTTTAATCAGCCCGAAGCATGATGCTTTGAGATCATCAGAATTTCCAGCATTTTCTGAGGTAATGCAACTGCTTAGTTAAATCTTAGTTTTATTTGGCAACAATGATAAGAAGTTCTTTTTTCCGTGTCGGTATACTTTTAATCCCTCCTACCTTCAAAGAACACTGTATCAATTGATGATCTTTGCACAGGAGGGTCACCAGCAAAGGAAAACGAAAATGGTAGAAAGGACAGGTCTTTGGGGCCCCGACATAATGCTACTTCAAAGAACACAGCCTCAAAGAACAGAGTCTCAGAGCAGCATATGCTCAAGAGTACCAAGGAAAGGAACAGGAGGTCTGTGAACATACCCCATATCTCTACCAGCCTTTCCTCTCCACTCAGTCAACTTGACTGACTGAAAAGGAAGTGTTGGAGAGGTGGACACAATTTTCCCATCCCTTTAACTGCCCTTCTTTTTACTGATCAATTGGGTAAAATATTGGCAACGTGTTTTTCTTTATGTGTCTCTATATATAAAAGTACTAGAAATTTCCTTTTCTTGGCTAGGAGTGGAGGGTGGGGTTGAATTTCCAGAGAATTTCTCTGAGAATTTCAGATCCCACACAATCTTTGCTATCTTTCACCTCTTCTCATAGCTACCGCACGTCTATAGCTTTTTTGACAGCCATTTTCATAAGATCCTCAGAAAGCCGCCAACAGCCTTTCTGGCAGAGTTTTTGCATTTTTAACAGCACTGGCACAAACAGAAATTCCACAGATAATTATTTTTCCATCACTGCATTTACATCCTGTGGGGAGGGGGGAATGCTGTTGAACTTTGACCTGTCACAATTCTTCTGTGGGCACAAGACCTTTGCTGGGAAAAAGTTGCCAACCCTAGCCCTTAGTATATTTTATTGTATGCCCTTTTGTGCACAATGCCCCTTTTCATTTTGACAGGTCTTTGATCTTGACCTCTGAGAGCAGATTATAGCAGGTACACTGTATTCTTAATCTTAATTTTGTAGATCTAGGGCATCCTAAAATGGCTAAGAAACATTACACCCTTTAAACTTACCAATGTCAATGAGCTTAGAAGGCCATAATTCTTCTTAGGACTGTACTGTTATTCACTGGTCCAGTCCCCACCCCCCGCCCCCCCAAAAAACCCATGCAGTATTTTGATTCTAGTATCTACTTTAGGAAGGAATTTTTAAAAAAATAGTGCAACCATCTAGGTTATTTGAGGTTAGAGAAAAGTGAAAGGTTATCCAACAATCTTGAAGTTCACAACCAGGACATGAAGATAATAGCCATTCTCAGATTCTGTCCTCCACATCTGGTTATTTCAGGTATACTACCTTTGAAGAGGAATTTCCAGTGAGGTATTATAGCTAATAACCATGACTAGACCTATCTTATACTTTCCAGTTTAACCTGCTGAGTCCAGATTTCTGAAGCATACCAGATTAATTTACAGTGCCATTCTTAGCATAGCCACCCCCTTCTAAATCCACTGAAGTAAATGGGTTTAGAGAGGTATGCTGCTGCTTAGGATGGCCTCCTTGAGTTGATAGACTTCTCAGGTTGCCCTAGGTCTACAGAACTAAGATAAATAATAGAGTACATCTGTAGTAGACTGCTCTCAGCTATGGTGTCATACATTCTGGTTCTGCAGAGAGCAGGTCTCAACATGAAGGACGAAAAGCAGAGAAACCAGTTTTGCAGCCAGAGGTAAAAGTCAAGATTTGAAGCTCAGGTTGTGTGCAGCACAGAACTGGTCTGCATCAGCTTTCCAAGAGCCACCAGTTGTTTCAGAGGACTGACTTGCACAGCTCAGACTCCAGCTGAATTATTACCACCCACACAAAGGACTGGTCAGCCATACTGGGTTATGGCCCTCTTTTTGAAAGCTTTCTGTAAACTTGGCCCATGAAGTTCATTAAAACATAAAGAAAAGTACCAAGATGTATTCTTCTTGTCTATAAACTGGGGTTGGTCTGGCCAGCTTTTTCACTCAATCTCACCCAATTTCCCTCCTTACTACCAGCCCATGTCCCACATGGCTTTGTCCATGACCACCAGCAGAACCTTTTTGGTGATCAAAGGGAATTCCCTCCTCTCCACCAGTGGAAAAAACTGGTTGGGTCCAACACAGAAAGTGTCTAACTCTAAAACAACACATTGATCATTTCACTGTAAAGCACATTTTCTAGGTGAGACTAGTGGGAGCCACATGTCCTCATAATATACCTCTATGATATCTGTCCCCACCATGGAAATGCAAAAGACTTGTATTTCTATAAAGTAAAGAAGACCCAGTAATCTGACTGTCTCTCAAAGAACAATGCCTGTTTTCCAGCCTGCTCTGCCCCTGTTGTAACTCTGTAAATGAAGACAATAAGGGGGTTCAGACCAGAAAACTATGGAAAATTATGCCTTTAGAAGTGTTAGTTTAGATGCATTTTTTGAACTGTTACTATAAATGAACATGTGTAGCTGCCTTATACCAGGTCATATCAGTGGTCCATCTAGCTCAGTACAGTACAGTCTGGCTGATAGTGAGTCTTCAGGGTTTTAGGCAGAGGTCCTTCGTTCTCTTGCATGAGGCCCTGAGGAGGAGCATCTGCTTAGCATGTAGAAGGTTCCAGGTTCAATTCCTAACATCTCCACTTGAAAGGATCAAGGAGCAGGCAATGTGAAAGACCTCATCCTGAGACCCAGGAGAGCTACTTCCAGTCAGAATAGACAATACTGACTTTGACAGATCCATGGTCTGACTCACTATCAGGTGGCTTCATGTGTTCGTGTGTAAACCAAGATGTCACAGATTAATCATGTTGTGCATGAGACCAGATGGAGGGAGTTCTGACTTTGAAAGTTTATACTCCCAAAGTCTAAGGTGCTACTGGGCAATGTGGGGTAGCCCAGGCTAGCCTGACCTCATCAGATCTCAGAAGTTAAGCAGGGTCGGCCCTGGCTAGTATTTGGACAGGAGTCCACCAAGGAACATCAGAGTCATGATGCAGAAGCAGGCAATGGCAAACCACCTCTGAACGTCTCTTGCCTTGAAAACCCTGTGGTGTTACGCAAGTTACTTCTGTCTTGATGGCACTTTCCACCACCAAGGTGCTGCTGGACTTGAATCTATTGTTCTTTCATGAAAATATGAGCCCTCTGAATAGCTTTATTGTTCTGTCATGAAAATATGAGCCCTCTGAATAGCTTGACCTCTGAATGGTATTAGGAATCCTAATTTACTTGTTTAACTCCATGAACTGTTTTGCGAAGGAGTCATGAATGAAATATTTAAAAATTAGCTCTTTAACATCTACATTAACATCTAGAAAAAAGGAAAGATCTTTAATAGGTAAAATATGTCCCTTTCCCCTGCAATACAGATCCAAGACAATGCTGAAGATCTTGGATGTTACATGAATTCTGAAAGTTCTGGAAATGTCTATCAAGCTGCGAATGTTGTAGACGTTGGTGAGCTTGAAAAGGTTGAATTAAAAGTAAAAATAAATACTTCAGAAAACATCACTTGTCTTTGGGTTTTTAACAAGGGCCAGACGGAATGTAGGTCCTTTTTGGAGCTGGACAACTGGTAAGCAAGAGTATGGATTGAACTATTTTTTAATGCTTAGATCGTTTTAAATGTATTTGTAAGATGATTACATTTGTAAATCACTTCATAACTCAAAAGTGGCTCAAAAGTTATTATTATTATCAAAGATATGATTTCAAAATTAACTACAATAACTATCTGTTTTCCAATAAGAACACTTAACCACCATCTGTATTGTATTGCATATTCACTTTCTTACTTGCAGAATGGCCACAGAGCAGGACTGGGCAGTTTCAAGAAGAAGAAGAAAACAGTGGGCACAAAAATGTATATAAATAAAATGGCCTTGGGCAACACATTGAGCTTCGCCACTGTTCCAGGCACTGATCAGGAGAGATGGTACCAATTGCCTCTGCTCCCCTGTTTTACCTTCTGCACTGCCTATCGTTACAGTGAAGCAGGCAAAATGTTTGCCCCGTCTGTCTTTCAGAGCAGCTGATGTTGCCTATCTCAGGAGGAAGGGTATACTGTAACATCTCTTTCTATCCTTTTTCCAGTCTGCAGTGCTGTTCATATGCCAGCATTTCCAGACAAAACGTTTCTCCTCAGACCTAGCACATGTATCTCCAGAGAATAGAATAATTTGAGCAAATAGGTTTTTATATAGAATGAAAGCCTTCCCCAAGCCATTGAGTCAGCAGTATGAATGAACACTTTGGAAAGATAAACCAATCTGTGCAGTAGCAGGAGCACTCTCTGTAGTAAGATCTCTGTGTTACTCAGCTCGTTGGAAAATGTCACTATGAGATATATATCTACAGTTCATGCCCTCCTGACCTCTGGGTTCTTTACACCAGAAAGCCAGGCAGCAGAATAATGGAAACATCCCAGAATTTCTGAGTATCAGCCGTCTTTGTTAATTTTTCAACAAAGAGTAGTTAAAACAATAGCATTAGTGAATAAATGCATTAGTGTTTTGTTCAAGTGCTGATTAGTTACTACCCAAAATCACATTCCTACTAATTATGAAGAAAGGTCTAGGAAAATAAAAATTTGTTTACCTGGCACTTAAAATTTGAAAAAGTAGGCCCTAAGCAAATGGATGCAAGGAGAATATGCTGCCCCCAGTCAGCGTTATCTGTAGTTTAGTAAAACTGCTCTGTACCTTTAAGACTTGTTGCACCTGGGAATTGTAGTTCACAGTTAGGGGTCACAGAAGCTTCCCTCTGACTGGCTCATTAAGAGTAATTTCCCGAGCTCAGAGGCGCAAAGATAGGAGTTTTATTGTTCTTTTCCGTTTCTTTGTCCATCAACCCTTACTGCAAGGAGAGGGGAAGCCCATCTCTTTCTCATTGTCCTGTCTAGCGTGAGCTTTGCAGCTGAGGCAAACTCTTTTCCAGGTGTGAGTCAACGCACAGCCACTGAAGAGAGCTTAAATCATAGAGAATATTCCATAAACAAAGCAGTCTGTCCTTGGGGTTCACTAACCTTCCTTGTGAACATGGGGGCACACAGAGTAGAACCCCTAATGATGACTGTATTAGCTCTGATTCATGAAATGGCTTAATGCATTCACATTTGGGAGAGGACAAGATGAGCAGTTAGAGCTTTGCATTCCGTTTGTAACCTAGCAGTTCTCATTGCTGAAGAAACAAGCCACTTAAAAACTGAACAACAGCTTGCCTCCTCAGCAGTGAAAACTATTAGATCAAAATTAATAAGTCAATAAGACATGATGTATGCCCACCCTGTGTTTTTGCCCATTCTTGTATACTAGGATTCCCAGCCCAGTGTGAGCAAATTTCAGGAGATTTTTGGAACAATGCCTGAGGAGTGTGGAGTTTCGGAAGGATATCAGTTCCAGGTGATGGGCTAGGAATTTCTCCTTTTATCTGTAGAACAGTGGTACAGACTGTACAGACTAGAAGAAATTCTTAAAGCATCACCATCAATGCCATTTTTCTCCCACTCCTCAAGTTATCAAGGGCAGGGGATTACCCACTTACTGTGGGCAAATGGCAAGCCTATTGTATGTCCCTTCTTTGAATTGCAGCTTTAACCTTTATACTGATATTAATAAGATACAAAGCTAAGCCTTTAAGCATATGTTCAAACCCCGCCCCCAAATGGGTCTTACTTTTGTACTGTAGATTAAGTAATAAATGCATCATGGCACAGAGGGCTGAATTAAAGTGGCACAAGTGCTAAATTGTCCATCCCCTTCTTTGCAATAGTGAGCTGGTAAGAAAGCATGTCTCGTAGGTGGAGTACCTACGAGACATGCTTTCTTACCAGCTCACTATTGCAAAGAAGGGGATGGACAACTGCAGTCGGTACATGAGCATTCAGAGCAGTGCTGCCCACATCAGCCTGGACCATTTCATAATATGCTGCAGTCCTGTGAGTAATCCGATCCTGGCTGCAAGTTTCTCAGACATTTCTTCTTATACAAGTATGGTCTCCTTTCCTCCTCTTGGGAGGAGATGGAAGTCACCACAACCAGAGCTGTAGGGGACTGGAGAGGCATCAAACAGAAGAGAGAGCATCGAGCAGGGAGAACATTCCAGAGAACTGCATCAGTGAAGAAACCCCAATCTGGCTAAGGCCTGCAGAGTGGTTAGCACGGTGGTTAATCCAGCCCTGACCGCAAGTTCTGCTTGCTTTTGCTTTGGTTACCATTTTGGACTGCTTCCCTTTCCTTCGCATGAACTTTCTAAAGTGGAAGCTTTGTCTCCTGTCTTACAGGCATGTTATTTCAGTGACGTTTCCAAAGATCAGAGAGAGAGAGGCTAGAAACCACATGCTGTCAATTACAACTGAAACTTGTAACTACACGGTAACATTTACGTTTAATATAAGAAGTAAGTATGCCATGGAGCCAGAGGGTCGATCTGATAGCAATATGATTCTCTGGAGAGGAGGCATAATAATTTTATAAATAAATAAATAAATCACTGCAACGGGATGGTAGGGTAGGAATGTGTGCCAACCTCAGAGTGGCGGAACATGATAGACTCTACCTCCTTTGGTGTTTCCCCTTTTTCTCTTTCACCGTCCTTCCTCCCTTTCTGTTCTGGCAATATGTGCAGTTTTCCTCACGTCACTCATGTCAAGCATGGGTATTTCATCTTTTGCGAGGAAGAGCTTTGAACTGCTTTGATCTGAATTTTCTAAGGGATCTTAGTTTTTAAATTATCAATTGATATTCTGTCACATCTTGCTCCTTAATGTTAACAACCACAGAGAGACCAGGGTAGGGAGGGAGTTAAAATATTTATCTGTGTTTGCCTGGTCTTAGAAACAGCAAGGGAATCAGCTAATTGGGCAGGGAGATTTATTGGTTATCCTCAAGAATATAAAGTGGTAGCTCTTACAACCTTAATTAAAAACCCTTGTGTAGTATTGGTTCTTCAAACATATTCTTTTCCCAGTTTGTGAGGTTCAAGGTGTGCATAAATTTATCTTTAAGTGTCTAGAAATCTTTCATTCTCACATTATGATTTTTTTTAATTATAGAAAATTTTATTCTGAACATAAATTCAGAATTTTTCACGGATAAAATTAGTCTGCAGGTTTATCTATTTCTCTCAGCTCTGAGACATTCATGTTTTCTGATCTTGGTGGCAATCACAAGATTTAACACAAGCACTCCTCCCATCTAGATAAACAAAATATTACTCAAGGTATTGGTCGATGCATTTCTCTCAACTTCACCTGTTTAACTCAGTTGTTGTGTGGATAAAATACTGCTATAAGAAAACTAGAAGAAGATCAGGAATAAATGTAGCACAGTGAATTATCACTGTCCACCTTTGAAACAGATGTCCAGTGGCACTAAAGACTAACAACATCTAGTTGGTCTTTATAATGCCAAAGGCTCCCATTTTATTTTTCTGCCACAGACTGACATAGGTACCTTTCCAGAATATCCACCTTTAGGTTCTGATGGGAAGATTAGTGACAAGCAGGGTACATGCCACATAATAAGTGACTGCAATTTTAACTCATGCCCATTGCCAAGGTGTGAAAGCATCTGCAGTGATTTTACCATCTAAGAATACAGCTGCTTGTGAACACTTGTTTACATGGAAAGATGGTTAATAATCTTGTGAATATCAGACTATAATTACAAGTACAACTGCATGTATTCATAGATAAATAAGAGGCTATGTGTGCCTTATTTTCAACAGGCAGCCCAAGAAAGCCCTATTTTATAAAAAATGCAGGTTCAAAAACTGTAACCTGCATCTCTGAAGGCAACCCTCAACCAGTTATTGAGTGGCACTTTTGTAGTACTCCTGATGAAAGGTATGTTGCCTTGTTTTTTGGCCTATCTGCTTGTTTTGCATGGACATTTGAGCATCTTTTGGCTGAAGAAGGATGGCATGTGAAAGCTGTATGTGAGTGATTTCCTTGCTGTGTGAGTAGAATAATGTTTTTTGAACTTTCTATAGAATGACATGCACATCCCCTGCAATTCCAGCCTACCTGTCCCACAAGTGAAATATAAATGTGTAAGCATGATGGGGACACCCATGTTTTAGCAAATGCTTATCTAAAATATGGCATATACAGATATAAAATATTAGAATCCAGTTTTGAATATGTGTAACCAACTCTTTTTTAACCATTTCATTTGAAACATCTGGAACTTGTTCCAGTTTTTCAGGGTCTTGTGCAATTTGGCCTAAGAGGGACCCATATCTGTTTTAGAAATGGCAGAAGCATAGCCACTGAGGGGAGCATGACCAACAGAGAATTCCCCAGTGCAAGTTTGGTGTAGTGGTTAGGAGTGTGGGCTCTAATCTGGGACAACCGGGTTTGATTCCCCACTCCTCCACATGCAGCTGCTGGTGTGACCTTGGGTCACTCACAAGTTCTCTCAGAGCTGTTCTCGCATGAGCAGTTCTTGAAAGAGCTCTCTCAGCCCCACCTACCTTGGGAAGGGGAAGGAGATTGTAAGCCGCTCTGAGACTCCTTCAGGTAGTGAAGGACAGAGTATAAATCCAATTTCTTCTCTTTTCTTCTTGTTCTATCACAAAGGTGACTTTCAATTGGTGTATGTCAGCTGCCTTACAGAGTATTTTGTGAAAAGATGGGGTGCAAATATATTAAATAAAGTAAAATAAAATTCCCTTGGCCAGTCTGTGACACCCTGCAGCAGCAAGTCTGGTTCACTAAGGGCCCGTCTACACCTTCAGTAGTACCATTTGGTAGACTTCTCTTTGGTCCATGTTACCAGAATACAAGAGGAGGAATCACATATTTTGAATTCTCTCTCTTATGAAAATACTTATGTTGAACTAAAGATGATTCACATTTGTCAAATGCACACTACTGTCCGCAGTACTTGAACCTATGGATGCCAGCCTCCAGGTGGGGTCTGGAGATCTCCCATAACAACAACTGATTTCTAGACTACAGAGGTCAGTTCCCCTGGAGAAAATGGCTACCTTGGAGGGCAGACTCTATGGTGTTATACCTCACTGATGCCACTCTCATCCCCCAACCCCCCCCCAAGCTCCACTCCCCAAATCTCCAGGAATTTCCCAACCCAAGGTTGGAAACACTACTTGAACCTGTGGAAGAGTATGGACTGGGGGTGGGGGGTGGACATGTGATCAGGGTCAAGAAGAGGGACTAAGGGAGGGAAATCTAGGGGGTCTTGATCAATGTTCCCTCTAAGCGATGGAGTTTGTTGAGCAAAAATTCTACTTTGTGTGCTACTGGCATTAAAGTTGTGAGCAGGTGATTTGGCTACTGCATAAACTAGTTTGCTCTGGAGCCATCCTTCCTGAGCTAAGACAAAAATCTGTGAGCTGGAGGCTAAAAAACTGTGAGCTAGCTCACACTAACTTAGCTTAGAGTGAACACTGGTCTTGATCATCTGGCGCTCACTGAGCTGGTCAAGTCATACGATTTGTTTTCACATGTTTGGGATGGATGTGTTTGTGAGTTGGGGGCTTAAAGGGATTTTTTTTGCCTGGGGCCCTAGGGTGGCTCTTGGCAGGCCTGCATGTGATTCCAGATAGACAAAGATGTGTGCCTGTGAGCCATAGACCAAAAGCAGGTCCTCAGTGGTTGGATTCCAGATAGCTCTAGGGCAATTTTATCAAAACGAATGTATTTATCATTTCCCTAGTTCAAAACTAATATAATAACATTTGGTTTTCTTGAGATGCATATATTAATTCAGTTCATGATGCTGTTTTATAGGTGCAGCAAAGGAAGTGAGCCCAAAACAAGGGAAATAGAACTTAACTTACTGAAAAACGAGTGGCTGTTTCATCCGCATGTATGGTGCTGTGCAACCAACGTACTGAATACTCTATGCACTGAAATCCATACAATAGGTAACTCACATCCCCTCTTTCCCCCTTTCTCTGCTCCTCTTTCTCTCTGGAGCCTCTTCTCTGTCCTTCACCCTTACCCTCCGCCACTTCTCCAGCCAGTTTTGAGGTATACTAAAGGTAATCGAAGGACAGAAACACTGCACCAATGGCAATGGGACTGGCAAGACAGAAGGAGAGCCAAACTGGCCATCTTCTGGGCAGTCAGGAGAGTAGCTGCAGGGTAGCTGCAAGGCCTTTAGCAGTCTGGGACCAACATATCTGTGGGACCGTCTCCTCTGCTATGTTCCCAGGAGAGCTTTATGCTCTGACCAGGGCCAGGGCCTTTTCAGCCCTGGCCCCAACCTGGTGGAACTCTCTGCCTAATACCACCAGGGCCCTGCGGGATATTATGCAATTCCACAGAGCCTGCAAGGCAGAGATGGTCCGCCAGACTTTTGGCTGAGGACAGCAATGGTTCTCTATTGTGGCTGGCACCCTCTCCCTTTTCCCTTCCCCTAAATTCTGATCCTGTGTTTCCTCTCCCGCTGCCCAGAAAATGGCCAGGCAGTCCAGAGCTAGGATGAAATTTTAATGATGCCATCTGGAACTGTTTCAATCTGTTTTTTAAATTTGTCATTCTAATTTTGTTAGACCTGAATTTTTAATGTACTGTATAATTAAGTAATGGCTCGGTGCCTTTGCTGTACCTTGCCCCAGAGCCCAGTGCAAGCTGGGATGGGCAATTAATAAATCAAATTAACAACAACAACAACAACAATGTTCCTGAGCTCACAGCTTGGTTCTGTTAGTCAGAAGGAGGAGGAGCAGCAGCAGCAGCAGCAGGAGGAGCAGCAGGACTAGAAGCAGCAATATTAGGAGCAGCAGGAGGAGATTGGATTTCTGCCCTGCCCTTCACTCAGAGTCTCAGAGTGGCTTACAAACTCCTTTACCTTCCCTTCCCCACAACAGACACCCTGTGAGGTAGGTGGGGCTGAGAGAGCTCTTTCCAGAGCTGTCCTTGAGAGAACAGCCCTGACAGAACTACGGCTTGCCCAAGGTCATCCAGCAGCTGCAAGTGGAGGAGTGGGGAGTCAAATCCAGTTCTCCCAGATTAGAGTCTGTGCACTTAACCACTACGAGCATATTTGCTTGAAACTACTTTGCCGTATCTCAGGTCCACCGCCAGCTTAAAGGGAAAAAGCAAGGGAGCGGAAGTAAATACGAGGAGAGCCAGAAGAGCTGCAGAATGAATAGGAGTAGGAGCAGAATGATTTTCATTCCCCCATTCTCAGCCAGGTAACCTCACCTGTCATGTTCATAATATCGAATCCATTGTGCCCATGCTTGTGAAGCCTACAGTATTGACTTCAATTGGATTCCTCTGTCAGGGTGTCCCTCATCCGCCAATGGCTCGCAGATAGTAACTGTGGCCATCCACCACAGTTTATTTCACATGCAGAAATATTAGCATGCTCAGGCAATTTTAGTGTTACCAGGACATTTTCTTTGCCCCCTTCAGAAATAGAAAATTCTCATTTTGACACCTGAGCATTTCATTTAATTGAAACTTCATTTTAAAAATATGTATGAGGGAAGAGGCTGGGAAAATCAAAAATTCACCTTCCCCTAAATGTAAACTCAGATACGTTTGATTGATAGGTTCTCTCAGCCCTGAATTAGATTGTTGAAATATTCAGTTTTTCTATTAACAACACTGATAATTTAAAATCTAAAGGAAAATAGCCTTGTATGTATATAGGGGTAAAATTCAAATGCTTACAATTCTGTACATAAGTTGAGGGGCACAGGCAGTTTCTACCCAAAGGTGTTTATTGATCTGTGATCTCCAGCCTGGTGCTTGTAGGTGCTATGGTGCCCCCCAATGTGTTTCACACTTACTTATTGAGAGCCAGTTTGGTGTAGTTGTTAGGAGCGTGGACTCTAATCTGGGAGAACTGGGTTCAGTTTCCCACTCCTCTACATGCAGCTGCTGGTGTGACCTTGGGTCAGTCATAAGTTCTCTCAGAACTGTTCTCTCAAGAGCAGTTCTCCAAAGAGCTCTCTTAGCCCCACCTACCTCACAGGGTTTCTCTTGTGGGAAGGGGAAGGGAAAGGAGATCATAAGCTGCTCTGAGACTCCTTTGGGGAGTGAAGAGCAGGGTATAAATCATCTCCTCCTCCTCCTCTTCTTCTTCGTTGCATATCTTTCCCAAAGCCAAGAGCCAGTCCTGGCTATCTGCTTCGCCAGAGTAAGAGGCATCCATGGCAACCATTTTGTGGTGCTGCCTGTTATAATGGGAATTTAGGAAGATCCTCCAGATTCGCCATATAACTAGTTCCAGCCACTTGTGAAAGAACTCAACAGGTTTATTTATGCATAATATAGCTTGGGCCTAGAGATTAACTGCAACAATTCCAGCAGCCATTTTAAGAAAGATGCTGTTTCTTCTTCCCAGACACCACCAGAAGGCAGATGAGCTCTCCTCCAAACATTAACTCTTTATTAACTGTATCATTCTTTGTACCTCTTTAGCACACTGCCACTAGCCTTTTGCAAAATTTAAAAAGTGCCCACCGGTTCACCAAGGTGAGGACCCTTTCATGGTCTGAATTTGAATAATAAGTTACTTGGGTGCATAGAGAAGTCTTTGATACTTATGGAATGCATTAATCGATGGCATAAAATAATAATTCCTGCTTTTAATTATTACGTTGACAAGAGATTACACTTTGCTTTGCTGGTTTACTTATTTAATTGGACATGTTTTTATATTGCAGAGTTACATGTAACAGAACAAAGCCATTTACAGGAATTCTTTCTTAAAGTTGGAGATCCACTTTTCTTGAGATGTCGAGCTCTTAACAACAATTACCAGTTTACAGTTACATGGGATTTTGAAAACCAGCCATTAAATAAGGTACTAAAACATCATTTTTCTTGTGAGCACTTACTAGTAGTCTCAGCTATTTATTAAATGGTCAATTTTACTTAAAAATTAGAGCCTGACGCTTGAAGGAAGAACCAGCAAAAGCACACATCGGATTAAAACTCAATATGCATTTGCTTCATCAGTGGGACAGCACAGTCAAGGACATTATACCTGCTCATCCACAAATCATGCAAATGGAACTGCTTTAGTTACAGTTTTAGGTAAGTCAAATGCCAAATAAATGTATCCGGAGCAGGAAACCAGCCAGAGAAGCAGTGGGGCCTTTGGATGATGAAGGAATAAAGGGATTGCTAACGGAAGTTGAGGAGATGGCAGAGAAGCTCCGAAAAAAGTGGGGAGAAAATTGCATGCAAGAAAGGAAAGGGGAACTGGAAAGCTGAACATGTAGCAGGCCCCTGTTCCCTTAGCTGCAGTTGAAATATTTGGAATGTTATATGTCTCATGGATTCACATAATTTTAAATAGTCTACTCTACATACTTGAAAACCACACAAGAAGTTCTAAGAATTCTGCAAGAATTGTCACTTGTGTCTATTTTTCCCCCTATACAAAAGCCCTGGCAAAATGCTTTTCAATCCCAGTGGAATTTCCTAAGTAATCTATGATAAGGCTAATCCAAAAGAGAGTGGCTAAGTGTTAGACTCTTGAACAAACTTACTCTCAACAACACTCTCTGGATAGTGATCCTTTCCAAATATTATGGTTCCAATATTACAATAAATGGAAGATTGTGGCTTTTTCTGCACCCGACATTTCCTCTTCTTTCTCTCCGTATCTCTGCCGCTTTCCTCACCCCTTAATTGGTGGAAAAAATGTAATTACTGAATGCAAAGAAAGGTGGGGTGTTGTGGAATGGCATGAGATGTTAAGAGAGAGAGAGAGAGAGAGAGAGACTGGGATGGGAAGCCTAAATCTTTGAAAATGGGTCTCCATTTCATGCCTGTGTGAACAAAGAATGGGGGGAGGATTATTGACAGCAGAGAATCCTCTGGTCCTTGGCAATATGGGGAAATGGGGCTTTATGGCCACTTGTAAATTGCAGGAAAAGTCTTGTCAGTTTCAAGAGGGGGTTTACCTCTGTTGCCTGCATTCCCTTTGGTTATGCAGAAACCACAATTAATAAACCAGAGGGGGGAAATGGTGTAGAGGACACCCACGCAAATCCGAAGACAAGCTTTAATGCTTGACTGCTCAGAATCTTCGAAGTTAAGTGTCAGGGCAGAAAGGGCCTGTAGCAATATTTACACAGAGTAAATGGGATTAGTGAACCAGGGTGGGAATTATTCCCATTCTGTTCTATTCTTTACCTGTTAATTCCTGAACTATACAGTGAAATCAGACACAGGGAGGTTTGACTCTTGAAAGCTCATACCCAGAACATCTTGTTGGTCCCTAGATGCTACTGGGCTTGATACTAAGCGTTCTACTGCTGACCGACACGGCTACCCTCTGAAACTACCCATGAAGGGGGAAAGTCATATACCTTTTCTGTCAAGAATACAAATGTTTGAAATGGGCAATTAATCTGGGGGAAATCACATGCCTTTAGATCAGAGATATTGAATTTCTTTGTTACGAGAGCTGGATAATCTGACATAAATTTCACTTTGTCGGTCTGTGCCACGTGTGCCATAAAATGTAATACCAGGTACTAGAGACAGAAACTTTATAAAGGACACAGGCAAACCCAATTAACAATGGTATTTTTTTACTCAAAATAAAAATGGAAGCAATTGATTCCTAGCTGTGAAAGTAATTGATTTAGTGGAGAACCACAAAAGCTCCGATAACTAGAGTTTCTCTAAAGGACACCATAAAAGGGGGGTATCTTACATTTTCATACAAATTAGTTACTTTTTGTATATCTAGCACTTTTCAGAGACAAGTCATCTTCCTTGCAAGTAAATAAAATAGTTTTTCAGCACCATCCCTCATACACGCAGCCTTAGCAGCCGAGCATGGCTACAATACATCTCTCACTCTTTGGCCCCGGTCACACGAGAGGTTTTGGGCCAGGAGAGGGACGGATCGGGGGCGCAGCAAACGGCCGTGATCCCACCACAACATCTGGGAAGCCCTTCCGCCCAAAACGCCGCAGCAAAAATAAACCACCTACCAAGGTGGTTCTTCCGGCAAGGCCGCATCAAGGCCGGCCGTGGGATCGCCGGCGCGTCCTTCCGGCGTCTCTATTTTGGTGCGACTCTGATTAGCCGCACTTTGCCCGTTGTTTTTTCTGCCATGTGGCAGGGACCTTTGATTCCTTTCCCCCCCCGTGCCCTACCTTGGAGGATCTCGAGGAGGCACAACAGACTCCCCCCTCTACTGCCCCACCCCCACCAGATACAACAACACTGTGATATGGGCCAAGCTGAACGATGGACTCTGGGCAACCCAGATCACAGGGTACTGGCTTAGGAGGGAGGATCTGAACTGATCCAATCCCCCTGATCCCCCCTCCCCAGTTCTCATCCCTCTTGGGCTTCCCACAGAAGCAGTGGGGCTGAGAGGAAGGCCTGACAGAAAGGCTGTTTCAGAAACCTCCAGGGGATGCTTTTTGTTTTCCTGCAACCCCTTTTCCCTCACAGGTGGAAAACTGGTTGGGGGGGGGAAGGTCACCATCCCCACCCACCCCGACACTCACTCTGTCTCCCGGCTCCGTGGCTGTTTAGATGTGCGAAGATGACAGTGGTGCCCCTTTTCCCCTTCACTCCTCCACTCGCTTCCAAGGCCGGGATGTCTTTCCCCTCAGAACGACACACACAAGACAGCCCAGTTGCCTCCCAATCCATGTGCTGGCCCTTCTCCTCATCTCGCCCCCGCTGTCCTCATCCCTTCATGACAAACCGCCAATCTGCACGCCTGTTCTCACCAGCCTCTCTCTTGTTCACCGTTTGAAAAAAATGTTAAGCTAGTTGGTGCAGCAGTGGCAGTACCAGCTGTTTGACTCCACTCCTTCACGTGGTGGCTTTGCCAATGTTCACTGAGCTGTGGTCAGAGGAGGTGAGTGGGGAAAAAACACAGTCTCCTCTTTCTCTGCATTCGCTGCCATCCCCCCCATACTATTTTACCTCAGCTCTTAGCCCCACTCCCTTGCCATTTTCTTTCTATTTCTTGACAGCCTCGACCACACACACACTTTACTGTATTCAGCCACTAGTCCCTCAAGCAGCCTCCTGCCTTACCTCCTTCACACCACTTGCTCTTAGACTGGACAAGGGGGGGACCCGCGATACTCGCGGGAGAGGGGGACCTCCACTTCCCATTGCAGGGGTAGAGGAGGCCAGGTCTACTCCCTCCTTCCCGTTGTAGGGGTAGACCTGGCCTCCGGAGGAGTCCAGGTCTACTTTTCTTTCTATTTCTTGACAGCCTCGACCACACACACACTTCACTGCATTCAGCCGCTAGTCCCACAAGCAGCCTCCTGCCTTCCCTCCCTCACACTAGTTGCTCTTAGACTGGATAAGATCCCTGGATGGGCCAATTCCGGCCCACAGGCCATACATTTGACACCCATGCTTTAGTTACTGCATCATTTTTTAAAGTATGCTAAGTTTGTAGGTTTACCTTATGGTAAAGTACAATAACTTATAGTAAATGGACAATAAAATTACTGTGCATTTGATTTCAGGCACTCTTGTGTTAAAGAGTGATATGTTAATGATCATTGTAGTATTTAATATGAAGCACATTTACCTTCAACGAAAGGCTGAAGTACTTAGAACTTCCTTGTGTGTGGGTGGGTTGGGGGTTATATGACAGTTTGTAAAGTTAAGGATGGTCCATACAGGAAAGGATTTTTTTTTTCTTCCACTCTCACAGCACTAGATAATTCCACCTAATTAAATCAAATGACAGTTGATTCAAGATAGATAATAGATACTATCTTCACATTATACATAATTAATGTATGCAGCTTGCTGCCTCAAAATATAGTGATGACCACTGGCTTGAAAGAGGGCTAGAAAAGTGCACAGAAGATGGATCTGCCAATAAGTATTAATGATGATAGATGGTCTTCAAAGGTAGAATAACTCACGCCAATTGTTAGGGAACAATTAGGAGAATTCCCTGTTACTAGGGGCTTCCAAAAACATCTGACTGGATAATGTGGGAAATAGGATGCAGGACTAGATAGAGCAAGTTCAAATCCATGAACAGTTAAGCTGGACTGGAATAAACTTTCATTAGCCTTTAAAGGAGCCACTGAGCTCCTGTTCTTATTCCACTGCCAAAGACTTCCCCTCTGGATCCTTTATCTGGTTCTTGCAGGGCTGTTTTTGCATTCTGATATTTGCAGCCTCATCAGATGATAAGCTTGACAACCCTTCCATAGTTGTACTCTAATAAGGAAATCGAGATGTGCATAATTACAGGATTCTTTAAATTTTTAAAAATTAACTCCTATGACATAACTTTGACATATCTCTGAACAGATAAGGGGTTTATTGCTGTCATGGATTCACAGGAAGTATTTGAAGTTGGTATGGAGGAAAATATTTGCCTTGAAGTCAAACTTAAAGCATATCCACCAATCAGATGCATTTGGAAGTTTTCCGGAAAGTCATTTACTTGTAATCAAATGTACACAGACCTCTACAGGTAATCAATTTTTTTTAATCCCAGTTTGTTTCTGTTATGAATGGGTAAAGTTGTTAGATGGCAGACTAAGTCCCATGACATCTGTGGGAGTTTCTGAGTAAATATGTTTAGTGTTGTGCTCCATTTGTTTTATATCTATATTGCCAAGGTGTGGGGTCAATGCAACTACAAAAATACTGCTTGAGGAAGTCCCGTAATAATCTGGCAATCCTCCTTTCCAACAAACTCACAATGCAGTCATCAGATTCTGTGCCCCAACAGTTTCTTGCCTTGTGCCAAGGTTCATTTGACCATGTTGCAGCCAAAAACATGGCATATGATCTAATCACAGTCAAGAATGTCTGTCTCCCATTCATTTCAATAGAGTTTTAAGTATAACTGGCTCTTGTGTGGTAACTCAAACCAGGTTAACACAGGGGAAGTTAAGAAACGGGAGCTCATTCAGCTGGTAGAGATGTTCACAGGACTTCCTCCCTTACTAGAATAGCCTCTGGCTAAACACCTTTGACAGAGGAGGAACAGACGTTTATTAAGCTGGCAGAGATGTCCCTAAGCCTTTCTCACTTGCTAGCTCACTTGTAATATCCATAAAAAGAGCAAGCACTGGCATAATACTGAAAAGCCACTAGTAGTGAAGGAAGTTCTTACATGGGCACCCATTAGCCTTTCATTAGCAGTTGAGCTAATGATAACATCAGTTTACTCTTGTGCTGGCAGCTCAATGCCACTGTGCAGTTACAACCATTACCGGGCAGGTACACACAGCTATTAACTGCTGCTGTAGTCCAGAAGCTGATGTGGCATGTGAGATCCCTGCCTCCCTGCAGAGGGCAGCATGCTTGGGGGACAGACTGGGAGGGGGGGAAAGGCCGTCAAAAAGAGGGCTCACTTCCCCAGCCCATCTCGGCCTGGCCCTGACTTCCACAAAAAAAGACAGGAGGGGGAAGGAGCCTGTCCAGCAAGCCTTGTGCTATGTGGGGCACAGCTAGGTGCCTCCTTCCCTTCATTAGGCTCAGCCATGTACCCCATTCACAGTTCTTGTTTCCTCCTTTCCCACACTGGGTTCGGTGGGGTGCCTGCCTCCTCCCATCTTTGGGGTTCAGATGGCTCTAACAGAAGGGGTGGCCTCTCAGCCCATGAGACTATGGGGACTTTCCCCATTGGACTTAATGGCCACAAAAGATCTTGCCACTGTGTTGCATGCCCTAGTTACATCTAGATTAAATTGCTGCAATACACTTTAAGGGAGGCTGCCCTTGGAAAGTGTTCAGACATTTCAATTGGCGCAGAGAATACTGAAGCCAGGGTGTTGACTAGAGACGGCATAGGGGCCCTATAATCAGTCTTGGCCCATCTATACTAGCTCCCAGTCTGCTTCCGGACTGCTTCCGGATTCAAGGCGCTGTTGTTGACCTTTAAAGCCCTGGATGTCTTGGGAACTGCATACCTGAAGAACTATGGTCATTTTCCAAGGCCCTGCTTGGGGTGCCTCCACCTTCTGAGAGTAGGTAGGTGACAACCTGGGAGGGGACCTTCTCAGTCATGGCACCAAAAATCTGGAACTCTCTCCCCAGGGAGACTTTTGTTGCCATCTTCTCTTTGCATATGAAGACTTTTGTGTTTCATCTGGCATTTCCTCAGTCATCATTCCTTCCTGCCCTATGTTTTAATTGCTGTTTTATGGATTTTTAATGTATTTATTTCAGCTTTGGTTTTAGTTGTTTGAATCATGTGTTTTTGTTTGGGTTTATTGGTTTTCGGTTTTATTATGTCTGTTTTAAATCTGTTAGCGGGCTTGGTGGCCCCAATGAGGGCAGAAAGTATAAAGTATGTAAAGGTAAAGGTTCCTTTGCTCGAAAGCCAGTCGAATCCGACTCTAGGGTTGCGGTGCTCAGCTCCGTTTCAAAGCCGAAGAGCCAGCGCTGTCCGAAGACATTTCCGTGGTCATGTGGCGGGCATGACTAAACACCAAGGCGCACAGAACACTGTTACCTTCCCACTGAAGTGGTTCCTATTTATCTACTTGCAATTTCTTGCTTTCAAACTGCTAGGTTGGCAGGAGCTGAAACTAGAGACGGGAGCTCACTCTGTCATGCGGCACACTTGGGTCTCGAACTGCTGAACTACCGACCTTCCACAGCCTGCAGTTCAGCGTCTTAACCATTTGAGCCACCACAGCTCCTTAAAGTATGAGGGAGGTATAAATTTTATAAATACAGTTTAGTCCACTCCTGAGCATGCAGCCTATCCCTTGCTTTCTCCCTCTTGGACCACTACTGGAAGGTGTCACTGATATTTTAAAATGGCTTTTTAATGATATATATTATAACCACATCTACATTAACTAAATACATTAATTGAAAGTAAGTACCAGTAAGAGTTGTGCAACAGTGGAATCAGCCGCCTGGGGAAGTGGTGAGCTCCCCCTCACTGGCAGTCTTTAAGCAGCGGCTGGACAAACACTTGTCAGGGATGCTCTGGGCTGATCTTGCATTGAGCAGCGGGTTGGGCTAGATGGCCTGTATGGCCCCTTCCAACTCTGTGATTCTGTGATTCTAAGATTTCCATAGTGTATTTTGAGTCAAGGAGTAGGCCCAAAGTTTCATCCCAAAATTAGACTCTGTTTCATATATTGTTAAATTTGTCTATAATCGTCATTCCCCCATCCTTTTGAAAAAATGTCTGGCTGCTCTGTGACAATCCCCTACCGCTGATCTGAAATAAATATAGTGCTGCAATCCTGAGCAGAGTTATGCCCTCCTAAACCTATTGACCTCTCTTAGAAGGGTTTAACTCTGCTTAGGATGGCACTTTATGTCTCCTAAAAAAATTCCTCAACTGTGTTTATACCCCATCTATCTCCCCAGTGGGGGCCCCAAGTGGCTTAAGTAATTCTCCTCTCCTCTATTTTATCCTCACAACAATCCTGTGAGGTAGGATCGATTGAGAGTGGGTGACTAAGGTCACCCATCAAGCTTCCATGTCAGAGTGAGGATTTGAACCTGGATCTTCCAGGTGCTAGTCTAGCACTGTAACCAATACACATGTTGGCTATAAACGTTTTCATGTTTTATTTGCTTAATTACTTATGCTCCACCTTTGTCCCCTGTGGGGACTCAAAGCTGCTTACATCCTTCTCTTCTCCTCCATTTTATCCTGACACGATGATGCGCTTATTAGAAGCCCTCCAATTTAACTGGTTAGTCCATATGAATCTCTGCTAAATTATTACACTAGCCTACCCAATAATCTGTATGCCTTTGCAAACACAGGTATAGTGAGAGAAGTATTAACTTTGCTTATTTAAGCATAATAGGAAGCTAGTAAGTCCATTCATGTGCATCAGACCTTGAAAGTACATTATGCTTCTGTGCTGGCCTGTGGTTTTTTTGTGCACTGAAAGCATGACATTTATTTAAAGAATGGTTCCAGTGGTTCTTCCATTTTTAGAAAAATGCTCTTCCAAGTGTTCAGCCTTTTTTTTGATTTGGCTGACATATGTACCCATTTGGATCAGTTTGCATAGTCTGATGTCGTTCTGTCTACATCTTTTACTTAGGCTCAACTTGCTCCCATCTATTTGTTTATTTAGATACTTTTACCCTGGTTTTCTCCTCAACAGGGATCTAAAGGGTCTTACAACATAATTCTCACCCTTTTATCCTCCCAACAATGACCCTGTGAAGCAGGTTAGGCTGAGAGAGAAACAGAGTAGGTGGCCCAAGGTCACCCAGCAAGCTTCCGTAATTGACTGGGGATTCGAACCTGGGCCTCCAAGATCCTAGTCCAGCACTCGAACTGTACATTACACCAGCTCTCATTTAATGCTACTCAAGAAAAGGAGACTGGTATCAGCTCAAAGACTGATCAAATAAACCTGCATATGATTTGAGATATTAGCAGGTATACAAAAGAACACAGTTTTCAGGTTTGTTTCTATCAGGTAGTTGTTACTTTCCATCCTGGCAGAGTCCAAAAGGTTCATATACCACCTCTTACTGATAGGATAGTAAACTGTATTCCACAGAGATCTTCGGTAAGCAACCTGTAGAGTTAACAGCAGCAGTTCTCCATACTCAACCCTAGAGACACTATATGTGTGACATATATAGTGTCTCTAGGGTTGCCAGCTTCCAGGTGGTAGCTGGAGCTCTCCCTCTGTTACAACTGATCTCCAGTTAGAAATCAGTCCACCTGTAGAAAACAGCCATTTTGGAAGGTGGACTCTACAGCATTATACTCCATTGAAGTCCCTCCTCTCCCCAAACCAGGCTGGTTAACAGATATGATTCTGCTTGTTCATGGAATGGATAAAAATGGCTATAATTGTAAAATAAACATAAACTGAAGATGTGTACATCAGACTTCTGTGTGGCCAGTAGTGTTTACATCCTTGTTGTAGATATGAGTAAGAATATCACCTGTTACTTCTGCCTTTTTCCTTTCAAATCCTTTTTTTTGTTGTTATTGTTGCTCCTATTTCCCAGTTGATTTTTGTTTACTTGGGTCAAACTGTACAGGAATACAGAAGATCTGTATCATTTATTGATTAGAGAGAAAACCAGCTGCGGAAAGGATGAGTTAGAAATTCCCCCTCATTCCTCCTCTGCCCAAGAACTACCTTTGTTATGTGGTATTCAAAATAAAAAAGTAAATTTCCATAGGAACTTTCCTCTCTCTTCTTTGGCCTTTGATTTAAAACTGCATCTACAACTTCCCTTTTTCTTCAACATGTTCTTAGTGCTTTTCAGTTTTCTGTTCCCTCTTTATAAATGAGAACACCTCTCTGTGTTCAGCCCAACTTTCACTTCTTCAGAGCAAACCAAGGTTATTGCAGATAGATTCCAAAGTTTATGCCTTCCTTTGTTTTCAACATAGATCAGAGTGATTCTCAAGAATGAATCAGTCTCACGAAACTGAAATCTTTGTGTTAAGGTCATTTTGGTCCCCACCTTCTTCCAAACATTTTATTTATACTGGAAAGGTTTTAGAGAGCAGTATTTTTTTTAATTTGCTGTCATATTTTGGGAGGCTATTTATACAATAAAGAATCTGTCCTCACGTATTTATTTTTATTATTATTTTAGAAAATGTAATACCTTCCTGAAGATTTTCATTCAGTCATGTTGATTAAATTGGAGCAAAATTTATTCCTGGTGTGTACACATGCTTGGTAACATGTTCGTGACATTCATAGTGTGCACATGTGCACACACCTAAAAACAAAGAGTTGAATGCTACAAGTTTTGCCATTCAACCTTATCCAGCTTTCTTTCTCACTGCAGCCCCCATCCCCCTTGGCTTTTGTCCACGTGATCCCCAGCATAGCCTTTGCAGTGGTGAGAAGGGGATCCTCCATTCTCTTTCACCAGTGGAAAAGCTGGTAGGATCCAACCTATATAGCATGCTAAGAGATCCAAATGAATTGCACAAAATTTCATCTTCACATCTTGTCTGGAAGATAGTATCTGTGTGGAAGGTAGTATATTCATTTTTCCCTCTCCTGTGTAAGCACAACGTAGTGTTTTATACATTACACAAATATTCTTCAGCAGTAGTATTCAAAGTCTCAGGATAGGGACAACTTAACATTTAAGTTTTTTTAATTTTAGCCTGTCAGTCCTTGTACACTATTCATCACCAACAGAAGGATCCTGCTCAAGGATGGGGTGGGGCTTGTGTCAGGATGTCTGTAACATGCGCGCGCTCTCTCTCTCTCTCTCTCTCTCTCTCTCTCTCTCTCTCTCTCTCTCTCTTTCTCTTTCTCTTTTTCTGGCTCTTTCACCCAAACTTCTACATGTTCATCCAACGTTCTGTGCTTTATGTATGAGCATACAATCTGCGCTTTGATCTCTATACTGCAAAAAAGGCAAGGAACAGAGATCATGTGATCCTGGCCCTTTCTCCTCTGTGTGTTCACTCTTCCTTGTAAATTATCTGCCCAGGGCTAGTTCCATCTGGCTTCACAATTTGCCTTACACACATACATACCAGTAAGTCAAATCCCAGCATAATCAGTCTTACCCTTCTTCTTGTGCTTCCAGAAATCTGCTTATGTTATTTGTTTTAAAATATTTTAAATCGATTTGTGTGTGTATAGCAGCAGAAAAGAACAAGAGTCCAGTAGCACCTTAAAGACTAACAAATTTCGTTAAACTCTGGCTGCTGCCACACGGGACGGCTGAAACACGGCTAATCAGAGCCGCACCGAACTTGAGACGCCGCGGCAAGATCCCACGGATCCCCTCAGCCGCGGCGCATCACTCCCCAGCACGATCAGATGCCGGGGAGGAAGAGTCAGATGGGAGGGGGAGGCTGCCGAACTACGCGTGCTCGAGCATGCACAGTACGACCTAGGTAGGTGGTTCTTTTTTAGTGCGCGTTATCGGTGGTTGGGACGGATCAGGGATGGGCAGGCAACGATTCCCAGATGTTGCCGTGGGATCGCGCCTTTTGCTTCGCCCCCGTTCCATCAAAGGTGCTACTGGACTCTTACTCTTTTCTACTGCTACAAACAGACTAACACAGCTACCCATCTTGTGTGTTTGTGTGTATTAATTTTGTAAGTTACACAACTTGTCTTTAGTGGAAATGGATGAAAGCGTGTTGGTGACATCATAGATGCTAAACAATAGGTGCCCTTCAAAGCCAGTTTCTTTGGTTCAAACTGATCCACACTGAAAATTCCAGAACCCATTTGTTTAGAGCTTGCCTCAGGGAAGAAAGGAGTGTGTTTGCAATGAAATGGTCTGGATGCTTTCAAACAGATGCCACCATTTTTAAAATGCCCCATATGCCTTTACCAACTACTGTGTTGATTTCCTCGAAAGTTTGCTATTGTCGGTTAGGTTGGAAAGGCCTTTTATACAATTACTTGGGTTGAACATATTCCTTAGTAATTGAAATACTTTAAAAGCATACATCTCCAAGGGAGGGTGCTGCTTGAAAGGTATTAATGGAAGAATTAAGTAGCTTGGCCATGATACTATTTTGGGTTCTGATTCTTTGATAGCTGCCTGGTTTAAAAACAACCCTTGGGTGCCTCGGGAGACATGTTTGAATGATCCTTCCTTCCTTCCTTCCTTCCTTTATGAAACAGCATCTCTGCAACCTTCTGTGATCATAAATACCAGCCAGGAGAATATGTTTTCTATGCAGAAAATGATGATGCACATGTGGAGAGAACATTAAAACTACATGTGAAAAGTGAGTTTAAAAAATGCAAAAGAAAGCTGATTTTGCCTACATGGTACCTGAATGCTCTTCTCCCATGTCCAGCTGATTCCATTCCTGACCTTCTGTAGAACTTTCACAAGCTATTCTTTTCCACACTGCCTTTTGGACTTTTTATAAATGTGAAATAATAATAATAATATCTAAAGTTAAACACGTGTGGATCTTGACAGTGGAGGAAGCATGAAGGCCTGCACAAGGCCAAGTGAATCTCCAGCATCGCCAGTTAAAGGAGCTCATGGGGCAAGGACCGGCCTAAGACTGCAGAGAGCCCTTGCCAGTTAGAGTAGATAATACTAGGCCAAATTGACCTATAATGATTTTGTACAAGACAGTTCCATATGTGTATATAAGTTCTTGCAGACAAAGGCAGCAACTTCTCAACCTCAGATTTTGGGCAGCTTACGTTTGTTCAAGGAGGATTCCAGCAGCATGGTTTGGAATTCGCATTGATGGGAAAAGGGATACAGAGCTGCGTTAGGGAGCCCTGTGACTAACTGGCAGGGCATAAGCTTTGCATATCGGAGGTCCCAAGACCAGCCTTTGGCATCTCCAGTTAAGGAATCCCATGGAGCTGGGCTGCAAAACATCTTTGCTTAAGATCCCAGAGTGGCGGTTACTAATAGGCAGGCAATTCAGGTAAGATGAATGGACTGATTTGATGTCATGCAGAATCAATTTTGATGTTACCTGGTGTAAACCTGACTTTCTTATGGCCTGGGTCTGCATGTAGTCTGAGACAAGAATGAATATTGCCAACTGCCTTGATTTTTTCCCCCCTGGGTTGCAATTCTAGATATGCTTAACTGGAAATTTGGGGACTTTTTTTTCTGACAAAGTCTGAGAAGACTTGCTCTAAAGGATTTGCACTTTTCTTACTATCTTTTGCAGAGAACCCTGACGTATCATCTGTCTCACTGTCAAATCAAGTGTCATGCACTGCGGAGAGCTTTCCTGCAGCATTGTGGGTCTGGAAAACGTGTTCTGAAGAGCATGAAAAGTAAATCAAGATCTCCAGCACCCTTTCTATGGAAGTGTGTGGTTGTTCCATTGAAAGGATGCAAAATGCCCTGGGACTGATTCACACTCAGGTTTCCATTGGAAACCCCCCCCCCCCCCCATGACAAGCAGATCAAAACATACTGGGCCAGACCACTGGTTCATCTAGCATCATATTGTCTTTCTCAGCCATTCCATTCAGTTTGGTGCTGTGGATCCAGAGCCTGGTAGGGTTATAAGAGGACCGGGCTTCCTGGCCACTTTTCACATTTAATACTTAAGTATATGTGGGTGCATGTGTGGGTGTAAAGTGCCGTCAAGTTGCAGCCAACTTATGGTAACCTCAGCAAGGGGCTTTAAAGGCAAGTGAGAAGCAGAGGAGGTTCATCATTGCCTTGCTCTGCAGAGCCTTCCTTGGTGGTCTTCCTTCCAAGTACAGACCCATCTTAGCTTCTGTATAGATTCTGCCCCCCAGGCCAGTCCAGGGATGGGGGAAAGAATTCTACACTGGCACAATACATTACTCAATCACCCAGAGAGATAGGCTCTCTGAATCTAAAACAATAGCTACCAGGAATCTCTAAACTTAATCCCTTACCAACCTGAGATTAGAGATCCCCAGAATCTCAGGTGACATGTGGGTTTTACACATTAGCAACTCTGTCTAGAGCTGCACAGTTAATCTTACACAGGTAGCATGTGACCAGCTAGACACAGGAAAAAGGCTTGGAGTCCAGTTACTACAATCCAGACACTATTTATAAACAAGAATAAAGTTTATTCAGTACAGGCTTAGCACAGACTAATCAGGATTATTACAAAATAACAAAATTTATGGCTCTTGGCCGTAACTAAACATTAGAGATATGCATAATCTTCTTTGAGTTTTCAGTGCATTTGAGACACATTGTTATAGTATTCCTTAAAATAACATTATAATGTAGTTCAATAATTATTCCATATGCTAGAGCCAGTTTGGTGCTAGGGCCAGTTTGGTGTAGTGGTTAAGTGTGCGGACTCTAATCTGGGAGAACTGAGTTTGATTTCCCACTCCTCCACTTGCACCTGGCTGGATGACCTTGGGCAAGCCATAATTCTGGCACAGCTGTTCTCGAAAAAGAGCAGTTTCTGTCAGAGTTCTCTCAGCTCCACCTACCTCACAGGGTGTCTGTTGTGGGGAGGAGAAGGGGAAGGAGTTTGTAAGCCGCTCTGAGACTCCCTTGGGTAGTGAAGGGCGGGGTATAAATCCAATCTCTTCTTCTTCTAGAGGGGGAAAGATGCTGAGGGATAGTACTTTGCAGAAAACATGCACCAGGGAGTTCTTGATTCATAGCTGTGTCTCTTAAGTACTACATTATGCCACCTTTTATTAACATTTTGTAAAGAGGCTGTCAAACAACCCTAGTCTCAATAGTTTTCCAGAACAACAGTCCACATTTTATGTGGCCATCTCATGGTATACCAGTGTTTGCCATTGAACAGGCAGGCACATCTGCAAACAGGCAGTGGACACACGCAAGCTCCTCAGCAGGTGTCCACCATGTATTTCCAGGTGTTTGGAGATGCAGAGCACCCTTTTACACTTTATCTGTTTGCTGTGGCTAACATCTGTCAAACCAATGAAGTGGCTCTGCAGTATCTCTCCTATTACTTTGCTGTTGTCATAAATGGGGTAGGATGGTCATGGAGAATGCGCCTGAGACTCTAATTTCCGCCCCTCATAGCTCTAGTCCACAGTATGCATCAGAAATAAAAAAAATTATTTGTGAGCAAAAGTTAAAGCAAGTAGCTGTTGCATTCATTTATGCCTATCAATAAAGAATGTTTTTAAAAAACACAAGCCACAGACTTCTGCCCTTGACCATGCCCTTGTCTTTCCAGAAGTTTGGGGAAATAGTAGAAAACATAAAGAGATTTCTTTTTTCCCCTCAGTTGTACTCAAGTCACAGATGGAATTTCATATGACAAGCGTGAAGGAAAAACCTTTGGCTCCTGGATCACAAACAGCACTTTACATACAACGGAGGCACACGCTGGATTTTTCATTGAGTGTTGCGCAAACAATTCTGTTGGTTTATCCTGCAAGACAAACTTCCTTAAACCCAAAGGTGTTGTCCTTTTATGCCTATGGAGCAGGGTTTTACTCCTTTTGTTTACAGAGTACAGTGAAATGCTGTTGCAATGTTTGGCTTACAATGTAAAAAATATATTGCATTGGGGGGTCCAAAAGAGACCTGTCTATATGGAGCTTTGAACAAAAACGTGTATTTCTGCTAGCATGACTTTTAATTTGAGATAAATGACTGGATTTTAGAGATGAGTCAGTCCACATCCTAATTATTTTCTCTGATTCCGACATTAACAATATGGTCAACTTCATACCTGGATTTACCGTACTCTGTCTCACCTCTTCACCCTGGCTTTATTGTACTTCTCCCTCACACAGCAAGCCTAAGGCAGGTCAATGTTTGCATTTCACAAAAAGACAATGGAAGTGGAAGAGAGTGGCTTGTCTCTAATGCCACAGTTCTGAGGGTGCTTTTACCATTTCTTAAGAGAAGCAGTGATTTCCACCAGTTTCCACCCCCCCACCCCCCCGGAGAAGCCCACTGTGCTGTTCCCTTGGGTCTGCCGACTTCCAAGAACATACCTGTAAAGCACAGTGAGCTGCAACAGTTGGCTGGTATCATTGCCCCCAGTTAAGAAAACGTGAAGTGCTCTCAGGTTTTCAGAAGGGAATGGTTAGATACAGGCATGCAAGAAGTCCATGTAAGGGGTGACATTTGAACCCAGATCCCCTGGGTCCACTTCTAGATCTCTGTTAACTGGGAACACCTGGTCTATAGGCCAAAACAGAGACGGCACATCAGAATCTATTACTATTGAAGATGGCTTGTTTTGCATTTGCTTTTAGCAGTTTTTTAAATGAATGGCTGTGATATTTTTGTATTCCTCCTCATAAGCCTTACAGAGTGCTCTGTTGGAGTGTTGTTGGAGGCATGTTATGCAAAGCCTGAGCTCAGCTGGTGCCGTATTATGCCAAAAAAAAAAGAAAAAAGAAAAAAAAGAATGAATAAACAAATGCACTTTTCCTCTTCAACAAAGCATCCTAAGGATGAACAAAAGCATCGTGGCACAAATTTTGTGTAGCATTCAGCTTGTTTCCTCAGATGCACAAAGTAATCTTGTTTTTGGCATTACATTGAAGTGTTGATTTCATGTTCAGTAATTTGCCTCTTTTCAAATTTGCAGAGGTCTTTGCCCTACCAAATCATGTCGCTTTATATACAACAATTGGATTCTTTATTTCATTCATCGTGGTGATGCTCCTGTTCATTTCCCACACCTACAAAAAGGTAAAGGCTAAACCAGCGTCTGTTTTTCATACACTCGTTTTTCTCATCACACTTCCTTTTCCCAGCCATTCACAGTTTTCCATTTCTGGCAGCGATTTAGATACATGAGTCAAATGCAGATTATACAGATGGTTGGCCCATCTGATAATGAATACATCTACGTCGATTTCAGCGAGACGGAATATGAACAAAAGTGGGAATTTCCCCGAGAAAATCTGGAATTTGGTGAGAATCTGCAGTGACTGTCCTTCAGCTAACCATCAGACTGATAACCACATGCCCAAACTGAAAGATAAATGGTTTTCTTTTCTTTTTTCCCTTGTAGGGCAAGTTCTTGGTTCTGGTGCTTTTGGGAAAGTGGTGAAAGCTACAGCCTATGGAATTAGTGAGTCGGGAGTGTCAGCCCAAGTTGCTGTCAAAATGCTGAAGGGTATGTTGTAAGGACTGGCTGGTCCGTTTCTACTGCAAAACCTGCAGGCTGTTGATACAATGGTGGGTGGGGTGGAGCTTGTATTCAAATCAGCAGCTGGATCCATAGTCAGGGCTGGGTAGATAATCCAGGCAAAGGTGGGGATACTGAAGGTCCTGAACAACCAAGCCGTGAGGCAGTGTGAAGCCACAGCAGCAGACCAGTATTCAGGGGACTGTGTGGCTCAGTCATTCACCACCACAAGCTTCTATACAAAGAGAACAACAAGGGCAGTGGATGGTGGGGCAGAAGCTCACTCTTCTGGCAGACGGCCACAGTGACACAAAGCAAAGATTGGGCTGCAAGGCATATTGGCCTCAGGCTGTATGATTTAAGCTTCAGTGCCTTCATAACAGACCCCATCCACTTCCCTCCCTTTTAGGCAAGATTTCCCCTTAGTTTTTATTTGTGGCCCTTCACTGACTGAGCAGCCCTGGTAACATGTATTCTTCTCTTTAAAGTAGCTTTGGCTGTCCCACCCTGTGTCAGTAGTATGTAATGGCTATTTTCTCAGCCCAGGACCGGAGGGAAGGGTTAGGGTCTCCCTTTAACTTAAATGACAGAAAATGGTGCTTCAGATGCTTTTAAAATAAAAGCTAGTGCCTGTTTGCACATGTGCATAACTTAAACCGGAAACACACACAAAAAAGGGGGGGAGGGTAGCGCGGTCACGGCGGATTGCTGCCCAGATACCAAAACCGCGGATACAAAGCGCGAGTTATCGGAAAACACCTGTTCCAACGGGTGTCAAAAAACGTGGATAAAAAGAGCGGAAACCGCGGGACTCAGCCCGCCTCGGTGCAGGAGGCGAATTTGCCTATATGAACAGGAAACGTTAATGCGCGAGGGATCAGCAGCGAAGCCCGCAGACCAGTTCAGCACATGTTACTTGTATAACAGCAGACTCTGTTGCTGCCTAGAAGGCTGATACCCTCTTCCTAGTACCCAAAGCCCTTTTCTTGGAACACCAGAAATCTTGAGTTGTTAACTGACTTTTAAAAGTCTTCACAAGCAGTTTCCAATCACACTAGACCAGGGATCTCTACTCGTCAGAGGCCCCCGGTCACATGGAAGGTTTTGGCCCAGGAGAGGGACAGACCGGGGGTGCAGAAAACGGGTGCGATCTCACCACAACATCTGGGAAGCGGTGCACACCCGTCCCCGATCCGTCCCTAAAGCCAGAAAACCCGCTGCAAAAAAGAACCACCTACAGAGGAGGATTTACCTGGAACGCCGCATCAAGCGCGGCCATGGGATCGCCGGTGCGCCCGGCGTTCGGAGCAATCCAGGCTCCTGGCCGAATTGCACATGCGCACACATGCACAGTTCGGCTGCCGCGCTCTTCCTTCAGTGGCTCCCCCCCCGGCATCTGATCATGCCAGGGAGGCACTGCGCGGCGGCTCAGGGGATCTATGTGATCCCCCCGCCACGTGTCTCTTTTGGTGCAGCTTTCAAAAGCCGCACTTTATCAGATTGCCTGGAGCAGCCTGTCACTCAAGGCTCTCCAGCTCTGTGAAGTATTAACCCTTCACAGTCCTCTTCAAAAAGTGCAGTCCGTCACAGCCTTTTATATGAGGCTGCCCCTGAAGGCAGTTTAGAACTTTCAAGTAATTCAAAGAGCAATAGTAATGCCACAAGACACTTATCCAAGAGTAGGCCCCATTAAATATAGTGAGACATGCTTTTAAATAAACATGTATATGACTGTACTGTAAGGATATTATGTGGTATAAAATACAGAGTACACTTTTAAAAAAGGGGTTACATTTATTTTTATTTAAAACATTTCTTTCTTGCCTTTCCACCCACATACAGTCCCCAAGGCAGCAAACATCAAGCATTTCAACATTAGAACAACATTTTAAATAAAGTATATATAAAATGCCCAGGCTGGCTTGAGCTGGTTATATCTCGGAAGCTAACCAGGGCCAGCCCTGGTTAGTATTTGGATGGGAGACCGTCAAGGAATACCAGAGTCATGATGCGGAGGCAGGCAATGGCAAACCGCCTCTGAATGTCTCTTGCCTTGAAAACCCTACGGGGTCGCCATGAGTCAGCTGTGACTTGACAGCTCTTTCCACCACATATATGAAATGATTCAGTAAACACATAGAATTTGGTGGATAGCTGTGTTGGTCTGAAGCAGTATTTGTTAATTTCCTGCATTGTGCAGGAGGTTGTACTAGATGACCCCAGAGGTCCCTTCCAACTCTATGGTTCTTTGATTCTATGAAAGTTTGAGTCCAGTGGAACCTTTAAAATCAACAAAGCTTTATTCAAATTGAATAAAACTTTGTTGGTCTTAAAGGTGCCACTGAACTCAAGCTTTGTTCCAATAAAAATATAAACACACACAACACCAAAACCAGAGAGGAGGGACAATAATAGTTGTTGGTGAAACAAAAAAGTCTTTACCCGTTGGTGGAAGACAACAATAGAAGACAGACAAATTTCCTTGAGGAAGGAGTTCAAGTTTTGACACAATGACTGAGAAGGGCCTCTCTCGGGTCACCATCCATCTACCCTCAGATGGCAGGGGCACCTGAAGGAAGGTCTCCAAAGATGACTGGAGTGGACAGGTAGGTTCATATGAGAGAAGAAAAACTTCAAAGTATGCTGGCCCCAAGCCATATAGGGCTTTGAAGGTTAATACCAGCACTTTGAATAGGATGGGGAAGCAAATTAGGAGTAATATAGTCCATACAACCCACTCTAATCCACATTCTGGATGCAGCATTCCATACCAACTGTAGCTTCTGGATAGTCTTCAAAGGCTGCCCAATGTAGAGTACAATGCAGCAATCTAATCTATATGCTAACCTGACATGTACCACAGTGGCAAGATCTCCCTTCTCCCAAGAAGGGCCACAACTGGCTCACCAGATGAAGCTGCATATCTCACCTAGGCACCCCTGGCCTCTGCTGCCACCTGTTTATGAACCTGCTCCTTTAGGGGAAGTGCAACCAGTGTTCCCTCTAAGCTGAGTTAGTGTGAGCTACCTCACAGTTTTTTGGTCTCTAACTCACACATTTTTGTCCTAGCTCAGGAAGGATGGCTCCAGAGTGAACTAATTTATGCAGTGGCCAAATTGTTCACCCACTTTAATGCCAGTAGCTCACAAGACCCCATAGCTTAGAGGGAGCATTGAGTGCAACCCCATCCAGAGCAGGAGATATACCATTTCTTGGGTCAAGCCTTCCCCTCATCAGTAGCACATCTATTTTTAAGTTAAGTTTCAATTTGTTAGCCCTCATCCATTCCCAAACTGCCTCCAGGCACTTGTTCACAGTTTCAACAGCCTCCTGGGATCTGCTGGAAGCACCAGATAGAGAGCTGAGTGTCATCAGCATATTGGTGGCAACTCAGCCCAAATCTCTGGATGATCTCTCCCAGTGGTTTAACTACGTAGGTGTTGAAAAGCATAGGGGACAAAATGGAACCTTGAGGAACCCTGTCGGCCAGAGGCCAAGAAACAGAACAACAGTTCCCCAGCACCACACTCTGAAACCTACCCTTCAGATAGGACCAGAACCACCACAAAACAGTTTGTCCCAGGCCCAGTCCTGAAAGGCGACTCAGAATGATATCATAATTGATGGTATTGAAAGCCACCAAGAGGTCCAGGAGAATTAACAGGGTCACACACTTCCCCCTGTCCATCTCCTGGCACATGCCATCGCCCCGGGCAACCATGGCCATTTTAGTCCCATAACCAGGCCTGAAACCAGACTGGAATGGATCCATGAGCTACCAGTTCACTTCTGGATGCAACACAAAGTTCTATTATGACCTTTAAAGACCTATACCATGTAAACTTCCTTCATTCCCCGGGATAAAGATGAACTATAAATAATGTATATAAATAAAAATATATAAATATATAAATAAATTTATAAAATAAATAAAATAGAACCAAGGTATTTCAAGAATTGCCCACTCCCATATGAGGCCGTCCATTTACTGCAGTCCTCCTCTGATGTTCTAAGGTCTTCCATGTGCCATCATTATGTGAAAGAAGGTGAGTGGCTGTATGTGACAGGGCTTCTTCTGTTGTGGCCTCTTACTTAGAGCACCCAGTTCTCATAAATATTAGACAGCAGATGAGCCTGTAAGCCTTCATCAATAAGTTTGGCTGGATAAGGCATTGTGACCCATTTAATCCAAAACTGACAATTCTTGGCATTAAGGTTGTGATCCTCAGCACATTTAGCAGGGAGTTGAATTCACTTCTAAGTATGTGTGCATAGGATCAAGCATCCCAGTTAGGAATGGAAAATTGTCAAGTTCTGCTTTTCTTTCTGGGCTGCGGATTCATCTTCAACTGCTGATCTATAAAGCTACAACTGGTGCAGCAGCAAATCCGGGACACTGAGCTGTATGAGCAGCTTATCCAGGATCCACCTTGTGGTGCTGAGCTTAATTAACCATTGCATGTTTAAACGATTAAATGGTGGAGATGCAGGCCCTTAATCTGGTAAAAATCATGCTTCATGATGTTGTTGTATTTACAGAAAAATACAGCTCTTCTGAAAAAGATGCTCTGATGTCGGAACTCAAAATGATGACTCACATCGGAAGTAATGAAAACATTGTTAATCTACTAGGAGCTTGTACCCTATCAGGTAGGGAGCACCTTGCTGAACTTTGATCTTTACTGTCCTGCTGATGAGTGGTTCTCAAGCTTTTTTAGAAGTGGGACTTTAGACTTCCTTTACTTTTTTGACACCTATTTACAAAGCAGCTCCACTCTACTTTCCCCCTCCATGGCATAAAATGCAAGACTCTCATATAAGTTAACAGTGAAGGTTTTAGCATTTTAATTTATAGCATTTATAAAGACGTAAAATTATTGAGTTATATTTCATTGTTGTTTCTCACATTATACACATGCAAACCCAATTTTGCCATCAAGCCTCCCAGTGTCTTCTCTTCCAGTTCACCTGTCCTTCCTCCTACCTGGCCTCATAACCCAGGCGGGAGACGTACTTCTAGTTCCCAACACACAGGGTGCGTTCAGACGGGGCGGTTCTGCCGGCATAAACGCAATCAGACTCACCCTCCTGTCTGCGGAGCCCTCCGGTGGACGCCCGCTCACACGCTGCGGGCGTCGGCGTTTTTTTTTTAAAAGGACTGTTTGAGCATGCGCACAGGCAGCCATTCAGAGAATGGCGATTTTTGCGCATGCTCAACCCCCCCCTACTTTTAAACATTAAAGGTAAGCACTTACCTTTAAAGTTTAAAGCCCAACCTGGCCTCGTTTCAGTCCCGGACTCCTCCGGGACGGTAAAGTAAGGTGTTTTTTTTTCTTCACAAACGTTCGGGGCGAAGCTTCGCCCGAGCGCATATCGCTTAGAGTTTTAAAAAATGGTGGGGGAAAGCCGGAAGCCTCAGGCTTCCGACGGAAGTGGCTAGGCACCGGTGGAGAGCGATCAGACGCCGGTTTGCACTCTGTTTACCACCACTTGGGACCTAGTGGCAGAGTACAACGGTGTAAACGGCTTTGTAACGGTTAGGGACGGGAGGCAGATGTTCGCCATGTGAACGCCGGTAAGTACACCAGTTGGAATTGTCACCTATTCCGTTACAGATGCCGCGTCTGAACGCACCCACAGTTTGGCAACCTCTGCTGTAGGCTGTTGTTAAGCTAGAGACATCAGTGGTCTGGTATAAGGAATGGATGGCATAGATAGTCATGTCAGGGCTAGTCATTTCTGTCTGTGGCTCCTCTCTAGAGAAAAGCAAAATTGCAAGGAGCTCTTAGTCAAGAATAAAGGGAATCCCCTGTTTCTTTGAAGAAGTGCTCTTCTGCCGCATCCTCCAAAAATGTCGTTCCTTTTCCTATTTTATGTCTAGTAGTAGAGGCAGCTGTTTATTTCTTTGTTTACTCAAACATATTCTAGGACCGATTTACTTGATTTTTGAATACTGCTGCTACGGGGACCTTTTGAACTATTTACGAAGCAAGAGGGAAAGATTTCACAAGACATTGACTGATATCTTCAAGCAGCATAATTTCAGCTTTTACCACAATTTCCCAGACTATCCAAGGTAACTACCTAACCTGATGCGGCTTGGGGAGGGGTATGGAATGCCAAACAATGAGTGAGGGGGCACTGTCTATGTTGTTCTCACACAGAAGAGCAAATGTGAGTCATAGCTTGTGAAGACATCTGCTAATATGCACCTGATTGACAGCTTTGTTTCCTACCTGTGACCACTCTGTGTAACAGTGTGCAGTGTGGAAGAGGAAGGGCTGTGGCTTGATGACAGAGCAGCTGCTTTGCATGCAGAAGGCCTCATTGTAGCCATTCTTCTGAAAATCATCTTTCTTTTCCCCCAGAAATGGAAATATACTAAAAAATGGGTCATATACACCAGTATATGGAATGGATGACTTTGCAAACGTGCACATGCAAGACTTGGATTTGGCCTCTAAACCATCTGACATGTCTCTGCTTCCTGGAGAGGGTGAGACATTCAACAGCACTCTTTCAAAACCAACATAGTTGCTTTAGGACTTTAGAGCAAGATTTGTGGGTTGTAATTTTCTTTTTAAAAAGAACATTCTGAAACAAGCAATTTGGAGATTAATCCTGTTAGCAGAAACTCAAGCCCTAGAGGGATAAAACTCTTGTCTTGGTGTTTTGTTTATAGAAGACGTTAAATACGTGAACCGGGGAATGGAGGATGAAGAAGATCTCAATGTACTGACTTTTGAGGACCTACTGTATTTCTCCTGTCAAGTTGCTAAAGGAATGGAGTTTTTGGAATCAAAATCAGTAAGTTTCCTGTGTTACACATACACAAGAGGGAATGTGAGGAAAATGGCAATCTACAGACTCTCCTTTTCCCACAGCCCTAGATATGCAAAACAGAAAAACCAACACTTCTGAGGATGTACATGGTAGAGGTTTACAGAATTAGGCTTGATATGGGAAAAGTGTCCTGACCTGAATGGTTCAGGCTAGCCCGATATCATCAGATCTCAGAAGCTGAGCTGGGTTAGTCCTGGTTAGTACTTAGATGGGAGACTATTAAGGAAGTCCAGGGTTGCTACACAGAGGCAGGTAATGGCAAACCACCTCTGAATGTCTCTTGCCTTGAAAATCTTACGGGAGTCGCGTAAGTCATCTGCAGCTTGATGGACCTCTCCATCACTTTCCACCATGAAGAAAGGAGAGAGAAAGAGAGAGTGTGTGTGTTTTCTCTCTTTTCCAGTACTAGGCTCATGGTTACCAATGAAACTGATCCTGGTTTAGATGGTTTTAAAAGACAAATTCCTAGAAAACAGGAATCATGGTGCCATTGGCCAGGATGATTAAATGAAACCTCCGTCTTCAGATGAATTATGCCATCCACTGGGAGGCAAGAGCAGTGGAGGACTGTTTCCTTCACATCCTTCATATCACCTTTCTATAAACACATAGCTAGGGACTGTGGTAAACAGGACACTAGACAAGATAGGTCCTTGGTCTAATTTAACACAATTCCTTTTTATTTTCTTTGAAATGTACATAGTGATCTAAATCCCATAAGGTTATTTTCCCTTACCACTAGATGCTCCATGTCCAGTCTTCCAAAAAAACAAAAAAATTGATAAAGGTGGAATCTGAAGAATACTTTCCTAGGAGTAAGGCCTACTGAATAGACCCGAGTAGGATTCTTGCAGTGCAATCCTAAAAATACTTTCCTGAGAGTAAATCTCATTGCATAGACCTGAGTAGGCCTGTTTAGAATTGCAGTATAAGTGGGCCTGCCTGGGATTACTTTTGTAGAGCACAGTCCTAAGAGCTACACCTGTCTAGGCCCATTGATTTCAGTTCCCCACAGCCACACAGCAGCTGCTTCAATGAGCTTAGAGGGGAGTAACTCTGCTTGGGACTGCACTGTTAGGGATTTACTGGAAGTCAAATAGCAACCACACTGTATATAATTACAACGAAGAACAAAAATAAATCAATTTCCCGTGTTTACTTATTTTTACAATCATAAACAAATTGCTTATTACAAAATGAGAAAAACGTTTTAAAGTTGATACAGGTAGGAAAGTCTGAAGACCATAACAGAAAAGCCAAAATATATAACAAGATGCTGAATATACCAAAATAGTCTCTGTAAACACTGTATGTCCACTTCAGTATCCTAGAAAAAGCCGGTCCCCATTGTGTGTTCTCTCTCATAATCTCCCATTTCACTGAAGCTTTATTAAAGAAGAGACCAATGCTTCAATAATTCCCAGTAGCAAATATTCTTAAAGCAGAAAATTCAGAACTTGAACGAATTACTCATAGCATTTCTTCATGCAGTCACTTTCCTTCACAGTGAAATGTTGGCTTTTCTATTGCAGTTCTCAGAGGTTCCTACCTGTATCAACTTTAAAAAGTTTTTCTCATTTTGTCATAAGTAATTTGTTTATGATTGTAATAATAAGTAAACACGGGAAATTGGTTTATTTTTGTTCTTCATTGTAATTATATACAGCGTGGTTGCTATTTGATTATGCTGTTTTCACTCTATATCTCACCTATTTTTGTGTTCAGGGATTTAATGGTAAGCAAGAAATACATTTCCCCTCACCCTGGGAGGTTGAATAATCATTTGTAGATGTACAAGGAGCCCCACTCTCAAAAGGCAGGTCAGAGGACACAGCAGTGAGCCTTCCATCTTCCTGTAGAGTTAGCAAGCCATAGCTTTAAAAATGCAACCATTGCAAAGATCCAATGGGCTTCCTCTGAGTCTTCTGTATGTAATATGTGGCTGCAAGCATCACTGTACTTGATACCTTTCCCTCAGTATATAAAACTTTTACTAAATAAATTCCCAGTATCGTTCGGTTCCTACTATGCAGGATTTATTACATGCACATTTGCTTACTCAGTGAGGGCCAAACTAGACATCTATTTTTAAAGAGCTGTTGGGGATTGAGCTTGGAAGGCTGCTATGGCGGAATGAAGGGCTGTTTTCCTGTGCTGAAAGAGCACAGCAGGGGGGGGATTATTTCCCCATTTTTTTAATGTTCCACAAGCAGCAAAAATGGGGAAATAACTTCCCAGCACTGTTTTGGTGTGGGGAAAATGACTGGGGGAAAGGCAGGAGCTCTTCCTCTCTGTACGGAAGCATTCTGAGCCCAGATGGGATCTCCTTTATTTTTAACAGCCATTCCCTGCAGCTGTTGTGTGGCTGTGGGGGACTGGACTTGAGTCCAGGGGACACAGATGCGACTATTTAAAAATAAGTACATCTAAAGGTTGAAGGGTCCCCCCCCCCAAATCCACTACATATTGTGGAAGCCTGAACTCTCCCTAGAAGCTAAAATGACTAACCTGAAGCTAATCGTACTTTGGTCATGTAATGAGAAGACAAGAGTCACGGGAAAGACAATAATGCTAGGCAAAGTGGAAGGCGGCAGAAGAGGAAGACCCAACATGAGATGGATAGGCTCTATAAAGGAAGCCATGGTCCTCAGTTTGCAAGACCTGAGCAAGGCAATGATAGGGTGTTTTGGAGGTCATTAATTCATAGGGTCACCATGACAGAAGCAACTTGATGGCACTTTACACACACACACAATTGTAACCAATGCTCCCTCTAAGCTGTGGAGTCTTGTGAGCAAAAATTCTACTTTGTGAGCTACTGGCATTACAGTTGTGAGTGGGCGATTTGGCTACTGCATAAATCAGTTTGCTCTGGAGCCATCCTTCCTGAGCTAAGACAAAAACTGTGAGCTAGCTCACACTAACTCAACTCAGAGGGAACACTGTAACCATAGAGTGTTCCTGTACCCTTTAAAATATGATATATTTTAGAAGTTCTAACTCTAAGTTCAAACTTTATTTACCATAACAATCAAGTACAGATGTGTCATAGGCTATTAACTGGTTAACTGCACAATTTATTTTACTTTGGAAATTGCTACACCCCATTTGTCATATTAGAAGACAAATGCACAGTTCTAAGATGATTAAAGAATTAAACAGCCTCATTTGTTGTCTGATCTTGCCTTGACAGTGTGTTCACAGAGATCTGGCTGCCAGGAATATACTAGTCACTCATGGGAAAGTGACAAAAATCTGTGACTTTGGACTTGCCAGGGATATTGTGAACGACTCAAACTATGTTGTCAGAGGCAATGTAAGTAGATGCCTGTTTTAAATCTTTTGCATCGCTTATGTCACTGATTTAATGAAATGGCAATAATTACATTTTGCAGAGCCATTGCTGTGCATACACAGAACACAGTCCAGAAGGGTGGTCATGTGCAGAAGTCTTTTTCCAGCCACAGACACTGGGATGGCACACTTTCCTCCCTCCCTCCCTCTCTCTCTCTCTCTCTCTCTCTCTCTCGCTCTCTCTCTCTCACCCCTTTTGCTTTCGTCTTTCTCTCTATTTT